ATCCACCCCGCAACTGGAGTTGAGTCTAAATTCCTTTTTCTTTTTCCAGCACTTGAGTTGCCTAAAGAAAAAGGAAAGTTATCCTTTTCTAGACCAATCAGTGGTTTCGGCTCAAGGGTGGGTCTGCCCCAAGTCCAGCTCTGAACCCGTGGCACCTGGGTGACCTTCCCCCCACTTACACATCATCTGCAAGGTGATTACTTTCAGATTCACATCTGGACACACCTCTCAACCTCTGGGGGCCTCAGCATGTATACCGGCAGGGTTGGGTGGGAGGGGGGAGGGAGACAGGATGATTTCTCAGACAACACCCACCACCTACTGGCCACGTCCTGTGGAGGCAGAGTTCCCCACACTTACCTCCCTGACACAGGGACCTGGACCTGCTCTGCCCTGCCAGAGGCAGCCATGGTGCTCCTGCTGCTGCTGCCCCTGCTGTGGGGGGGTGAGTGAGCTGAGGGAGGGGGGCTGGGCAGGTGGGGGATCAGCATGGGCTGCCACTGAGCCTCTGCCCCTTCCCAGGGTCCCTGCAGCAGCTGCCAGGCTATGAGCTCCAAGTGCAGGAATCGGTGACAGTGTTTGAGGGTCAGTGTGTCCACGTGCCCTGCTCCTTCTCCTACCCGAGGAGTTCGTGGTCTTCCTCTAGCAAATTCTACACCTACTGGTACCGGGACGGGGACAACACAGCCTATGATGCTCCTGTGGCCTCGAGCAACTATAATAAACCAGTGAAGAGAGAGACCAAAGTCCGATTTCTCCTCCCGGACCCCAGGACCAACGACTGTTCCCTGCACATAAGAGACGCCAGGAGGAGCGACACAGGACGCTACTTCTTCCGAGTGGAGATAGAATATCCTGAATATAATTACCAAGGACATTTCCAAGGATATAAGTCCCAAGGATATAGTTACCAAGATAAAATGTTGGATTTGCAGGTGGCAGGTACGGCAGGGGACCAGGAAAGGACCCAGGGACATGGGACCCCATCTTAGAGCAGGAACAGGACACTGGACACTCCCTGTCCAGGTCTTAGGCCCTGGGTGGTGGGAAGATCACAGGGCCTGGGGAGCTCAGGGGCCCTGAGGCATGAATCCCACTCAGGATCACACTTTGGGTCCCCACCCCCTGGAGCCCATGCACCTGCCTTTCTCCCCTGCATCCCTGACAGAGAAACCCCACATCCGTGTACGGGAGCCTCTGGAGTCCGGCCGCCCCACACAGCTGGCCTGCAGCCTTCCAGGGGCCTGTGAAGGGGGACGACCTCTCACCTTCTCCTGGGCGGGAGCCGCTGTGGACTCGCTGGACCCCCAGAACCTCAGCTCCTCGGTGCTCTCCTTCACCCCGAGGCCCGGGGACCATGGCACCAACCTCACCTGTCAGGTGAAACGGGAAGGGTCCCAGTGGACCACACAGAGAACCATCCGGCTCGATGTCTCCTGTGAGTGTTGGAGGGGGGGCTGGATCTGTGTTGGTAATGGCACTGGCCAGTGTGTGTGTGTGTGTGTGTGTGTGTGTGTGTGTGTGTGTGTGTGCAGGA